GAAGAATCCGAAGGGAGAATAACCAAGAGAATTCTAGTTACGTAAGTTCAACAAGAGATAAAAGAGGCGCTAAGAGAAAGGAGTTGTGATCGGATTGTTAAAAAGAGGTTTGCGTGAGGCGAATGCGGGACTGATCCGGTGAAGAAGTCTGGCAGCGAATCAGGGAACAACAAGTCACACTAGAATACGTGATACAAAACAAACTATCTACAATTCTCTGCCCTGTGTGCCGTCGCTCAATGTTGTACCGTCACAGTCGTGGCTAAGCTGTCATACACCGACGCCGCCATATATGATGCATAACACTGTCGCCTACTATAGAACTTCATGGGATGCCAGTTCAATAGCTGCACTACCCCCTCATTGCTCGATTCAGTACGAGATGGAAACGCCTTATCAATACGCGCCCCTTTCGTCACCTACACATTTCCGTCTTCTCAGAGTATCGAAGATAAAGCTTCACGAGGAACAGCTCGAGCTTTCCAATATCGACCTCGACATCGCCATACATGACTTGGAAGCAAAACCTGCGTACACGGCCATTTCGTACGTATGGGGCACCGGAACTGAAACCGCGCAAATACGACTTGGGACCTGTAGCTTTTTGGTCATTTCTAAGCTACTGTACACAGCTTTGCCACAACTTCTGAAAGCGGATGCTACAGGATATTTGTGGATCGATCAAATTTGTAAGGACGAATATGTGGGTTTGTCGACAAAAGCTGAGCAAATGCAGGCATTGATCAGCAGAGTGTAGATGATAAGAATCACCAAGTGCGGTTGATGGGTGATATTTATAGGAACTGCGACGAGGTACTGATTCATCTTGCTCCGGAGCTATGGACAAGAAGAGCTTATCAAACGTTGGAGTATGTGGAGCAGACATCAAGAGACGACCAGCGTCAAGATAAAGAAGATGATACAGAGACGTATGGACGAGAAGCTGACGAAATAACATTCGAGGACACCGTTTCTGGGATCTTGAATATTTTGAATGGATCTACTAATGTCAAGGTTTCGTGCGCGACTTTCTTCAACCACCCTTGGTTCACCAGAGGCTGGGTTGTACAGGAAGTAGCACTTGCTCCTCATGCACGGTTTCTTGCATGCGGCTCCAGTTTTGATGCGAAAGCCGTTGTAAAGGCCGACCGGTGGAGATATCGCGAATCTCTTGAGGTTGGCAGCGACGATTTGACTGATACCACCATCAGCAACTATCGTAAATTCTCTTTGGCAGCAAACTTCGATAAGAATACGGACCCACTAAGAGTCCTGGAGTGGCTTTCGTCGCCAAGCGAGCTGACTCTGGCACAAGACCATATTTACGCTTTCATCGGTATCATGGATGAACTGGATCTTGTACCAGACTACACCTTAGCATGGCATGACGTCTTCATGTTTACTGCAGCCAAGATCATTGATTTCCACGGCGATCTGGCGATATTTCGAAAATTAACCAGGACCTATCGTGGTTTAAAGCGGTCTCGTGGTTCTTCCGAATCGAATCCCGGTGTGCTACGGTCGTGGGTACCATATTGGATGAATGAATGCGATATTGCATATTCGCCCCCAAAGGGAGACCTTAGTCTCTCTGTTTGCAAGTACCGTAAGCATACTATTCCAGCAACTACAGAGCTACCTCATCTACGTGTACGCGGTGGACTCGTTGGTAATATATGCGGAATAGAGAGGATTAGAAATAAGACAAACCACACACCCACAATGCACGGTTTCATGAGAAGAAAGGGTGGTAATTCTGCTTACCACGCTTTTGTACTATCGAGTGGTTTATCAGGTCGCTCTATTGGAGGAATTCGAATCAAAAAGAACGATATCGTTTGCATACTACACGGATCTTACCTGCCCGTGATTCTTCGACATTCGCGAGGATCAAAGCATCAACGAAAGGAAGCACTGTATACCTTCGTGGATCTATGCGAATTGCAATCGAGCATGAAAGGTGAATTAGTGACTTGGGAAGAAGATCAAGCGGATGAATTTCTTCTGTGTTAGCACTGTGGTAGCTCATATCATATGGTACATATGGCTTGCGAATAGGTCAAACTGAACGCTATTGCAATATGCACAGGTGTGTCGAGTATTGTTAGAGATTTTTTCAAAGGATATTACCTGTAAAGAGCTCCAACATCGTACTACTAGGTAGTTGCATTAAAATCAGCACTAGGAGCTGAGGTAGACAAGTGCTTTGGAATGCCGATTGAGTGAGAATAGAAACGAATGCGGGCCCTACTTAGCACTGACCTTCAAAGGTTATACCATAATCGCTCATGCGTATGTGCGCCGCTCTGCTGCCCCAGACCTGAGCCAAAACGACAAGAAAGGCTAGATGTCTACCATTGCATTGTAGGTCTTGCGATAATTCACTGTATAATGCAGCAGATATACATTCTCAAGTTTTGAAATCACACCCAATTCTTTTCCTATTGTTCCAGCATGTTTATCCACGTAAAGCGTTCACAACTTATCGCAACATCTAACAACAAGTCCTTCCTGGTTTTCTCATCTGTAGACAATCGCTATGGCTTTAATACCGAGGCGGTCCACCCAATTCCAAAGACTGACGGATTATAACGCTGATTTTACTGTGTTAGTCACAGTCTGTAAAAATGACTTCGCGCCCAACTGCTCTGCAATTGTTGTACCGGCCAACCGGCCAAACGTGAGTGACCTTAATACCGACGTAGCCGGTGGGTATTCTCGTAGATGTTAGTGATATTCTTGTTTCATATATGAATGAAATGCTGACCGTTGTAGAATAATCCAGTCAACTCTCCCGCAGCCCAGAGTCCTGGGATGGGTACATCGTTCGTGCTTAGTACCTGCGCCTCGTTGTTTGTCTTCACACCACCATATGTGAAAGTTAAATGCGATGTGACTGGATAGCCGTAGAACGGTGGTGAGTTGATTGGGTTGGCCCAATTGGTCTTGTTGGGATTGAGTCCCATGGTCGCCTTCCCATCCAACTTCATCAGATCGAAAGGGTTGTTATTACATGCTTCGTTGAATTCTTTGACTGTTGCCTCCAGAGCATCTGGATCTATGCGCAATTTGATGGCGAGGTCGTGGATTGTATCCGCCGTCTCAGGGTCTTGGTCAGTCGTGTCGTATACCCAACCAGGACGGAACCGCTTCATGATCGTCTCGTCGGTAATGAAGTAACCCTTCTGGTTCTGGTCGCGCCACAACTCTAGTGCAATCATTTCGAAAGTGGCAAAAAGATGTCGCTTGCCCTCGTCGTAGAACCGTTTGCACTTTTCGTTGACCACGATGCCGTAGTTATGCCCCCATATCACGGCATCGGGCTTGGTGGCACGTGTATCGACGAGCTCGCAGTGCATACCATCAAATGAACCTGCTGTGCCGGCTCCAACCTCGAGTGCCATATTCAGCCCGGCTCCTCGGTTATATTTCAAACCTGGTGCGATGAGTGGCAACTCATGTGTCCGCCTCCCAACATACTTGGCCAACATCTCCCTGTTCCCTTCGAAGCCCCCGCACGCCAACACCACATTCGATGCATGCAACTCGTACAGCAGTCCGTCATTCTTTCTGACCTGTAAACCCTTGATTGCTCCCCTCTTATCTGTCAACAAATGCCTCGCCTCTGTCTGCCAATGCACTTCTGCATTTTTGTACCCTTCAATATGCCCCATCAAACAATCAATGATCGCCTTACCCCCTCCCTCAGGGAATACAAAATGCTGCGCCGTCTTGAACTCCAGTAGCACATTCTCCTCATCATGGTGATTGAATTTGACGCCATGGTCCTGCACATACTGCGCGGTGGCCTGCGCCTCGCGCTCGAGCGTCTCGCAATACGATTGGTCTGCGAGACCGTTGGAGACCAAAGCCATCTCGTGCTTCCAGCCCGAGTCGAAAGCGAGGTTCGCGTCGAGGCGGAGGTACGCCATCGTCCAGCGGGAGGCGCCGCAGCGTTCACTCGCCTTGCCGACTTCGATGAGGGCGACGCGGCTCGCTTTGTTGAGCTTCTTGGAGGTCTCGAGGAAGTTCAAAGTGGCCATACAGCCAGCGAAGCCGGATCCCACGACAATTAGGTCGTAACTATTCATCGCTGGTATTGATGGTGGTGTCTACTTACTCTGTGTTTTCTGGTGGTGAATATGGCGGAGGGTCGGAATGCTCGCCGAGTGTCGTTATACGAGCAAATGTTCCATATATGCATTTGCGCGTCGGAACGTAGGCGGAACGTGATCGCCCCCGCATTTCTTGAACGTGCGGAGGTGTCTTTGCGGGGAAGAAGCTTCGATGCTGCAGGGTGCAGATCCAGATCGGATGAGTGGATGAGAGATCAGGGCCTAGGCAGTGATCATCTGAATCGTCGCAGTTGCTACTATTGGGGATATATGCAATGTCGAATGAATACAACTCATAATAATGGCAGTCTACCTTCACAGACGGTGCATGTGAGGCTTTGTGTGAGGACAAGCCGTTCAAGATAGAGAACATCGTGAAGATGCTACTCGCGAAAAATATATTTCTGAAGGATAATGCAACAAGGTTGTCCATGACTGAGAAGGCATTAAGGTAAATCACCATGATAAACAGACTAGATGCGCTTGCTCAAAAGTAGCAGCTAGCTTGAGTCTGCAACACGGGTCAGCTCTTGACATGCATCTCTCCTTTGGAAACCATAGTGGGCCATGGACAGCTCCGTGACTGCAACCCTCGTGTGGAGATATCATCATTTTTGAACAGAGTTGCGCGTAAAAGCAGGCCTCATCTTGAATATACCATATAGAAGGGTCGAGGTATATTATTCGCTAGGGTTCTCTAGCAGGCTAAATTCTATTAGTCCTAATCAAGGTCGTCAACCGATGTCGCACAGTGCCCCACTTCGGTGGGAACCAGATCACGTTTGTAGCTACAACGCGCAGAGAAAAATCTCTTCGGTAGTCGTAGGTCCAATTCTCAAGGATTATATTACTGGTAACTGCCAAATAATCATTAATCAACAATCAGTCGCTTTAGCTCACTTGGGAGAGCGCCAGACTGAAGCAATCCGCTCCGGCGGCAAACTTCGGTTCCACCGAACCATCAGTGTGATCTGGAGGTACTGTGTTCGATCCACAGAAGCGACAACGTTGGTTTCTTTTTGCGGCTACCAAGGTATTGGAGGTGGGCAATCTTTTTGGGCGGCGGCACGGTCGGAACTCCGAGCCTACGACAACGGCCGCGGATGGTTGATGTAAACGTCAGCACGCGGGGTCGTTTAGCAGGAGGGGCTCGGATCGACACAAAGGGGGTGTTTGCCGATGCTCGTTTTTTGGTTGCTCGAAGAGACGAGAGGTATGCTGGTGCCTGTGCTGACTGACCGACTGTACTGTTCAGCTTGACTTGCAGCGCCGTCTTACTTCCATTCTTGGTCAATCTACCTTTTTCAGGTTGTATAAGAGTGAAGCGACGCCGCACGTAATCAGGTTAACCGTGATCATTCCCTTCTCTCTTCCATCACTGAATCAACAACCATTATGGCAAACATCGCCTACAAGGATGAAAATTTCACTGGTGACCCAAATGCCCACCAAACGTCCAAGTTCAGCGAATCGATGACAGGCTCGTGTCTCTGTGGCAGCATAAACGTGACTATCAATGACAGCGAGTTGTTCAGCAAGCCGCGTGGTCACTTATGGTACGCTGTCTCCGCGATCTTGAATTCAACCTCACTGACCAGCCATAGCCATTGTGCCAATTGCCGTAAAAATTCGGGCTCTTACGTGGCGTCAAACATGGCAATCGAGAGAGAGAAGGTGACGTACGAGGATAAGAATAGCACGATGAAAATCTACGAGGACTGGGCGACTGGAAGCGGGAAGTGTGTGAAGAGATTATTCTGCGGAAACTGCGGGTCACCCATCATGAGCCAGGCTGACGTCTTCCCTCATATGTATGTGTTGAAAATGGGTATATTTCCGCGCATCCCGAAGCCGGAGTGTGAAAGCTTTGCAGCGCATCGACATGAGTGGCAGGGTAAGCATGAGGGACTTGAGCAGTACACACTTGTGAGGGGTCAGAAGAAACTTGGTGATTGAGGATGCTGATTGGCTGTTTATAATGTTCTGGCTATTGACTCTGCTAGATCCGAAAATCGCTAAATGCTTGTACTAGTTGCTGATAATGCGGTCGACATGAGCTTCTATAGCACCAATGGCAAGTTCTCTAAATCAATTTCGATTCCAGAACTGAGCTGCGGGATCTGCGTGTAGTTGCTCTGATCCAGTAGTTTTCTAGTCATCTGTAGTGTCTGCAGCCATTGTTAGTCTCTCGATTGCTATCAAGAGCTTTGCAAGGCTATGTGCTCACCTGAGCATAAGTCGGAGTCGAGCCGCTCTTCATGATCTGTAGAAAAGCCCACGTCTACAAAACCATCAGCACTGATTTTTCTAGGCACATGGGAGCACCAAGGTCAATTTGACGTACCATTGCTCCGGTACTCCGTCCAGCGATGTTTGCGTCTGCGCTTGTCTGGTCGTCTCTACAACCGGAGAACATGGTCACCATCTTGTTCTCGCTACCGTATTGACCTACAAATTCGCCTGCATGCAGGAAAATGTCAGTTCCCTTCTAGCTTGGTGGGCGCTAGGGTTACTACGCACCATCTTGCAGTCCTTCCTCTTCCTGCTCACCCATGTGCTTCAGTCCACGGAAGAAGCTCGTCGCGCCAGCAAATAGCTCTCTCGCTTCCCCCACCTTATCGAATCGGAAACCACTGGACATGAGGTCTTGAGCTTCACTAACTAGCTGCGCACCCTTTTTCAGATTGTCCATCAAAGAGATCTGTCCATCAGCGTCGCTGCGGAAAACGTAAGGCAGCTCAACCGCAGAACCAGAGTGACAGCAATCCATCAGAATGAATAGAGTGCATCCAGGAGCCATGCGCGTGACCAGATGTTCATGAAGCAAAGTACTGCTGAGCTGACCCTTGTACTCAAAATCCACAGGGATAATGGAATCATCCAACCCTGTGCTACGGTTACCGTCAACATCCTTGACCTGTCCACCATGACCACTGTAATGCAGGAAGAGAGTGCATCCAGGCTCTGATACGAGCCAGTCCATGGCTGCAAGAATGTTGTGGCCTGTGGGATAATATGGACTGTTAGTCGCTACCATAGGATTGTCTGATAGTATGACTCTATCGCGATGAGTATTGTTGTAGCCTCTGTGGCCAAGGAATTCAGCGACATTGTCGACGTCTGCATGGCCTGTGTATACGTTAACATAATTATCGTATCAAGCCACGTAATCGAAGCCATATCGCTAGTACATCCTGTAGGTCGACAGCACACATTCTGTGCTCATAGAGACCCGCATCGTTCGTTTCTGGAATGTGGCGAATACTGCAGCAAACATGACCTACGTACATCCCTTCAGCTCGTGTGCGGAGCCGACATAGTTAATCCCGATGAGGAGGGACTTCTTTCGCTGCGCCATTTTGATGCTGCTTAATACCAGATGTCCTAGAAACTTTTTCGGTGTGTTGTGCGAGGTTGCGATTCTGGACTCGAAATTGTGGCGGGGGAGTGGCTACGTTAGTGCACCGCGAGGTCCGACGTGAATGTGGGACCACCAACCTTTCCTGTTAAGGACAAGCGTGGCCTGAAACCCGCACGTGTGGCAGAATACTAAAATAAGCAATGCACGATTAAATGTGAGTGCATCATTACAATAAGATGTTTCATATTCTTTTTGCATTCTATGAATCATAGCCCACTCTAGTATGATCATCTATAACATTGTCTAGAAATCCTCATGCATCCCATGAATCTCCCGAATCTCCCAAGAAACTACATATGCTCAACTCAGAACGCCGGCTTCCTCACACGCATCTCCTCCGTCAGGATTTTCAAGACAGCCATCTCCGCTTCCGATGAAAACATGCTAGCGAGACACTTCTTGTGCAATGCCATCTGCATTATGAGTACTCTGCTCTCTTCTGCGCGCTCATGCAGGACCAATGCTGCCGCATATCGGACAGGTTGTGTAGCTTCGAGTATTGGTAGGGAAATACAATTGGGGTCGATGTTAGGGCCGGCATGGTGACGGACAAGGAAAGCAAGGTTCTCTGTGAGGTGTCAGCGAGACCAAATGAGGGGAAATGATATTCCAAATTAGACATCATTTACATACTGGCTGTCGTAAGGAGGAAGTCTTGTGGCATATCATGATGATGTGTGCGTAATTCGCTGAGAATACGGCTTCGAAGCGGGTCAATCAGTCTCGGTGCTGGTATGGTCTTCGTATTGCGGGAGGTTTCCATTGGGGGCATATTTACTGAAGCCATGGTGAAGTCTTGATATCGAGCTTAATATTGCTGTGTGCTTTTGTGGGATTAGAAGGCTGTCATGGACTAGCTCTTATATGCTGTTAGTTTCACAATGAATATAACCCCAGTTTGGTATCAAACTGTCAAATTCGCAAGCATCTGCATTGGTACTTGCGACAAGCGGATCTCATAACGCGTACCGGCTCGACAAATTTTGTTTGTTGTAAAGCTTTTCTTTCACTCATGTACATGCATGTGTGTAACTACCAAGCTGCGAAGTACTCCATTTGTCAAATAATTAGACAAGATTAATGGTAGACTTTTATTGAAATGACGACAGTATTTGGCCGGAATGAGCAAGACGCAATGTGGGCCAGCACTAGAAGGAAAGCCCATCATACGAGTTGAACCTTTATAGAGCACTGGGTATCGAGCTAGACGTTATAAGACTAACAATAATGTTACGCCGCAAAAGAATTGGCGAAAAAGGGAAAACATATTGATCAGAGCAAGCAAGGGAAAGTAAGAGGCTGCGGGGTATTGCTTACTAAGCCAAACCAGTGTACCCAACCAATTCCTGTCATCTTGACTCATTTGCGCTTTCTTCCCTCCACCTCGTTAGGACCATCAAACTCAACGGCACTACACCTTTGCAAGTTACTCTCGAGAAACCCTCCATGCTCAATGACGATGATTTCCCACCACTGCAGTCCCGAACCCGGCCAAAGATTAACACGACCAGTTCACACACACCAGCCAGATGTGCACGTCCCATAGCTTCTCTAGTCGACCTCCCAGATGAACTCCTTGTTGAGATTCTAGACTACCTGCCGTGCCTCGACCTCCAACATTTCCAACTCCTCACCCTCAAAAGTCTCTCTTGCACAAATCGCCGACTCCACCATATTGTCAGCGACAGGCTATATGCAGCGTATGACAGTTTCTTCTGCACACCATATCTCTTTCTTCGCACGGTGGTCTCCAATCCAGGAGTTGCAGCCAATGTTCACTCAATGTCGTTCCGGTATGGGCCGAATGTGCATGCGGATCGGCCTACATACGTAGCGTCTATATCTGACAAGCAAGTGGTCAAAGACGGGTTGAAAAGACTAGAGATTCCGAATTGGAAACATTGGGCATCTCAGTGCAACGAGAAAAATATCGAACAAGAGTTTCTCTACGCTACCATCCTCATGTGCACACCCAACGTGACAAGACTAGAAATTGATGATGGAACAATACGGGAAGAAGAAACCGGATACAAAGTGCCAAAGTGGCTCAAACTCATTCAATACGCCTCAAATGGCAATCACTTTGGCCGTACGCACCAGTTCAACCAGCTCGCATCCTTCCATATTGACCTACAATTCCTCAAACTTCGTCATTTGGCTCCAATTTTTAAATTGCAGTCCATGCGCAAAGTCACATTGATTGGGCTTGTTGAGTGGGCGGAGACCAAGGAAGGAGAGCCAGGCTTCCTTAGACGCTTACTCGCGGCTGGTACGTCTTCGGTTGAGGAATTACGCCTACAGAAGAGCTTTGTTCATAGCGATGTTCTTGATGTACTCATCTCCTCCGCCTGTAAGCTCAGAGTCTTTGAATATCAGAGTGCCGACGATAGATTTCCGTTAAATGGCGAAGGAGGTGCACATTACTGGTATCCGATTGATCAAAGGGTCGAATACGACTGGGATTCTGCAACGAACTCATACAAAACCATCATTAGGTCTCTTGAAACCCATTGTCTCTCATTGGAGACCCTTCGACTGCGTCAAAAACCCTCTGCGCAGGGCTATATTCAACATACGGGAGTGC